CCCATGGCTGCTGGCTGCGCTGCGGGCCGCCAGCCTGCGCCCCCCCTCGCTCCTCCGACCGCTTTTGGAAAGGCGCCTCTTTTGGAACATGTGCTGAGGGGAAGCGGCTGCTTCCCCTGCACCCCGCTAGCACCGCTACTGGCTAGAAGGCAACCACTCTGCTTTAAGTGGCTGCTTTAAAATATCCCAATGTTTCCATTACAATATTGTTCAACCTCAGTTCTGGCAATTTACCACTGTGATGTGAGACTGACCAGCTCACCCTTTCACCACACAAACACTCTTCTCATCCTGATTAGAAGCCGAATAGGAAGAAGGAGCAGGCTGCCTTATGTAGTTGACTCTGCAGAGTCCTGGCTCCTTTTTTCTCCCCACATGACAAGCCATCTCTTGGTTTTCTCAAATACTGCAGACTGCACTGACTTGACCCATTGGAGGACTTCAGCCACAAGTACTCCTGTTCTTTTTGCAGCCTTTTAAAGTGACATTATGAGGGAACTTAGGAGGGGAATCTACCTTTTCACTGGAGACATCACTGGGAGTGATAGGAGGAGAAAAACCAAGAGGAAGGGTAAGTATGGAGGGAGGGAAGGCCAGGAGCTGGATGAGGTAGGAGTGGGGAAAGATCTCAGTGATAAGATGGAAAATGGAGGGGCGAAAGCCACTTGGGAGGAGAGTACCTAATTGTGTGAAGCCAGTGAGGAAAGATGAAAGGACGGGGGAGGCAAAAACAGAAAGGAGAATAATGGGCATGGGAAGCAGGAAATACAGTGGAGTAGAGAATGTGAGAATTTGAGAGGACAGAGAATGGGAGGAACAGAGTACTGGGGATTTAGTTGGGGATTGGTCCTGCTTTGAGCAGGGGGTTGGACTAGATGACCTCCTGAGGTCCCTTCCAACCCTGATAGTCTATGATTCTATGGTATTGGAGAAGGGAGAAAATTGATGGTGAACATTTGTGGGGGAGTGAAGAAATGGGATAAAAGACAAGACTAGCATGGAGGAGGGATGGAGAGGAGCAAGACAAGTGTGAAAAAAGGATTGGGATAGAAAGAGGGCAAATATGTTAGGGGAGAAAGGTCAAATCAGAATAAAATACTGTAGAACTGTTTATTTTTGTGCCTCTTATTTTGTGCATTCTGAAGCCAGCAATGTTATGTTTTATTATTTTTGTGCTCTCCAGCAGCTCAGGCTGCCTAGCAATGACTGGCTTGAGTATGCTTGGTCTGCCATTGCAAAGCACTCCTGCTGCCTAGCAACAAGCAATGTGAGTGTCAGTGTTGTGCAGTGGACAGGGCACTGGATTCCAAGTCAGGCAGAGCTCGGAAACAGTGAGCAAACAGTGGTATGATGTACGGGCACCTCTCTGAAGCTACTCTTGTTCTCTGGAATCTCAGCTTTCATTAATGAAGTCTCTAGCTATTATAGTTGTGAAGACAACCTGAAAAATATGAATTGAATGTAAGCCAATGCAGAGATGCCTGTGTGAATACTTAGTGAATACTAAAAGATATCAACTGCTCCACTCATCTCAGTGTGATTTCTAACCCAGAGGCCCACTGATAACTGAAATATCAATATTGTTAACTATTTAATTCCTCCTGTAAGGTGTTGTCCAGGAAAGATTTTTTTTGGTATAACCTAAAATCTGAATTTAAACAAATATAGCATTGCTGGTATAACCTTATAGGCAGACACTCTTATTCTTGTATGAGTCCCATTTTTTTTTCAATTTAAACTTTCATTATTTTGGAAGGGTTTTAAACTAACCACCAAAACTCACTCTTGTACCAGAATCAGTGTGTTTACATGGGGGGCGGGGGCAGTTATACCAGTGTAACTACACCTGTATAACTAGTAAAGCTTTCCACTGTAGGCAAGTCCTAAGAAAGGAGACAGAAGGTCACAGATTGGGACAAATTACTGGGGGTAAAGTCTCATTTTGGTGCCACAAGCAGGTGCTGTTTGGACTATAGTGCCACTTATTCCCTCTCCCCCCAATGAAAAATGAGCCAAACCCAAGGATGAGCTTGTGGGTGTCTTCAACTCCCACTGAGGGGGAATCAACATCGAGAAACCAGATGGAGCTCAGAAAAATGCATCAACATGTTTTAAACATCTACAAAATCTACTGTTTGAACAATCTCATTTAGACAACTCACAAGGACAGAATTTATTTTGTGGGTAGAGCCTGAAGATACCACTACCACTACTCTTCCAATCTGACCCCTGGAGTCAGGAGAGGTGTTCTGTCTCCTCAGCTCTGCTGCTGGCTTGCTTTGTGATCTTGAGTGAATCACTTGCCCTTGTTTTCCCTGTCTGTAAATGGGACTAAAATAGTGTCATGGCAGGTTGGGCCTTCACTCCTGTCTTCTTTACAGAAATTGTGCAGACTCCAGCGGCTGTGCATCCACAGCACCCGCTCATTTGAAGTTCCCTCCACCACTACCACTATGCAACAGTCTATTTACAATATCTACAGTGCTTTTGGCCCTAGCCTCTGAACCTGAGAGGAAGAGCTGCCTTCCTGAGACTTCTATGTGACATGGCTTAACTAGCCCTCTGCCACATCCTTCCTGTGCCTCTTTATCAGACTTGGGCTGATGAGCTAATTGGTTCCTTATCCCACCCAGCTGGCCAGCCTATCTAATTACCTCTCTCCGCTTTCTCTGGGGAATTAAGTGGCATCTATGTGACAAGAGGGCTGGCTTGCTCTTTAGCCTATGAAAAGTTTCAGAGTAGCAGCCGTGTTAGTCTGTATCCGCAAAAAGAAGAACAGGAGGACTTGTGGCACCTTAGAGACTAACAAATTAGTCTCTAAGGTGCCACAAGTCCTCCTGTTTTTCTTTAGCCTATAGCACTCTGTCACACAGGTATAACCAGGTGGTCCTATAAACACCTTCTTCTGCGTTATTTTTCTTAGTATGCAAGCAAGTTTTGATTCTGGTAAAGACATGCTGTGTTGTTGGTAGTGTTGGGTTATGCAAGGTTTTTTCTGCATAGAGGCAGATTGGGGAGAGAGGAAACTGTTGTGAGGCTTTTTGCCTTGAGCTCTGACTAAAGTACATTCTTGAGGCACAGGTTGTTCCCTCAGAATCAGCGGGGCATTGGTGTTGAGCTAGGATCCCTAAAAGCTGTGATTGCCCTGCCTGCTCTTTAACTACCTCATTTCACTCATACACTCTAATCTAAATATATCCAGATCTCACATCATGGCAGGTTTCAGAGTAGCAGCCGTGTTAGTCTGTATCTGCAAAAAGAAGAACAGGAGTA